CAACAGCTGCCAGCTCTGGTCTCCTCTTTGTGCCCCCAGCCCCAGTGTGACCCTTCTCCTGTGCTCTCTGTTGCAGCGGCTGGACCTGTTGGTGCGAGATTGGCACCTCTCTGGAGCCTACGGCGCGGACGCGGGGCAGGAGTATCTTGGAGAAATCACACAGGTAATGATCAGATACCACATGTGTTCATGGAAACAGCAAACTTTGGGGCGGAGCTGAACGTTTCCACAGCGGGTCTGATTCCCTGCTGACGGCCACAAATGTTGCTTTGACTCCCGCAGGACCTGGAGGTCTCTGCTGAACAGCCCCTGGTGTTGGAAGCCCTGAGGGCGAGCGGCACCCGGTGCTATCTATTGTCCCCCTCTGCAGACCTAGACGAGGATTTCCAGCAGTGCCTGTGTGAGTACGTCACCAGTGTGGTGCACTCAGCAGGGACACACGTCCGGACGGACCGAGCCGGGCAGATGCTGATGGGGGCTCAGCTGGCTGCCAAGATCAAGGTGGGAGAGTGGGGGCTGTTAAAGGGGGGGGCTGGATGGGAGACAGCAAAATGGGCCGCAAGGCAGGGACAGGGATTCAATACGGGGTGCCATTCTGCAGGGAGCGGGGCAGGGTGCTCAGTAGGGGGCGATGGGCTGCAGGGAGCGGGAAGGGGCTCAGCGGGGGCAAAGGGGCTGAGCTGTCCCTGATCCCAGTTCCCCCGGGCGTTATTCCCTGCAGGGCGTCTCCCGATATTGGAAGACCCAACGCTACGACTTCTCCACACCCATGAAGGTACCAGGTCACCCCTCCTCCGCCTCTCTCTTTCCAGCCTGGATTTGGGGCGGGGGCTGGTTCTATTGACCCCAACCCCAGGTCCTCCTGACATTGGCCAATCACACTAGCCCAGAAGGGGGCACCACAACAGCTCCACCAAATGTCCTGATCGAGGACTCCTAGCACCCAAGAGATAAGGGGACCTGCAGGAAGCCCTGCCAGAGAACCAGTCCCTCCACTGAGGTGGCAGCAACATGGTCATGGCTGTGGGGTTGAGGTGCTGCCCTCTGGCTCTATTGAAATGTGGGGGGTTGGGGACCGGTTCGGAGGTGATAGCGAGGAGCAGGTCCTGTACGAATGTGGGGAAGGTGGTGACTGTGGGGGGGCTCCCAGTTCAGAGATGGGCCCATCCCATCCGCACTTTGTGCAGGAGCTGGTGAGTGCAGAGGGGCTGCGGATTGGGAGTGAGGGGCACCAGCATCCCTGGGGCGAGGCAAGGCTGAGGTAGCAGGGGGCTGCGGATCGGGAGTGAGGGGGCTGCGGGTGTGTGAGGAGGCGGCGCCCCCTGTGGCTGGGTAACGCTAGTGCTCATCCCTAATGGCCGATCACTCCCCCATCCCGGCAGGACCGTGACCTCCAGAGCATGAGCAGCTGCCTGAGGGTGAAGCCCCTGGAGATGCCGCGACGCCTGGAGGGGAAACGCCAGGAGCTGCTGGAGCGCTGCCGGGGGGAGCTGCGGGGCGAGGATCCCCAGAAACAGGCGGCCCTGGAGGAGCTGAAGAAGGAGCTGGACAAGCAGATGGCGGAGTTCCTGCTGCGATATGAACAGCGCTTTAAAGTGATGAAGGCCGAGTGGTTGGGCCTGTACATTGGGCGGGGGGGCAGTTCTGGCAGTGGTGGGTGCGGGTATCGGAGTAGGCATCAGGGCGGGTGCAGCTCTAGTGGGGCTGGAGGAAGCAGTGGCCATTGGGATTGGGGCCGGGGTTTTTGGCCTGATTGGGGGGGTTGGGCACTGGCCGTGGGCCTGGTTTGGACAGAAGATGGCCCAGAACAAGACAGGCACCAACACCCCAGGTCAGGGGAATGAGCGGGAGAGGAGGGCAGGATGTTCAGATTAGGAGCCCCTGCTGCGAGGGGCAGATAGCAGGAAGGAACCATCACACCTCACTCTGGGTAAGGGTCTGTCCCAGCCGTCAGCACTGGGAACCTCTGTATGCAGGGGATAGATAGATATGAGGATGTTTGGGGATAGATAAAAACAAACTTACAACAGGTAATTTTGCGAGATTACAAAAGGACACAGAGGTTGACTGATTTACAGCCGGGTCACCGAGATCAGAATCCAGCCCAGATCCCATCGACCTCAGTAGATAAATAACATGGCCGTGGATCCCATGCTCCGAGCCGCCCCCAGCATCCCTCGGTCACAAGTTATTTTGGTTTTCATTTTCAACAAGTGGAAGAAAAATTGATTTTCATACTTTATGTTTGTTTTAAATATTTTCTCCTCCCCTGATTCAGAGCATGTGTAGAGGGGACAATTTTGGGGTGGTTTCCTCTCATTTCCCCACTGATTTTAAAACAATCCTAAGGGGTTAGGGGGTTTAAAACACACCCAAAACCAAAACCAACAGTTTCAGG